GGTGCATTAAGTCAACTTCGGAAGGCAAATTTGCAGCTTATTCACATTAGTAATAAACGCTTTTGTTTTCGAATAAATGCTCCCTAGCTTAGTCAGTGCCCAACAAAGAAAATAATAAGTTTCTTCCGATAATTTTAAATTAGCCTTGTTTTTTTCCTCAAGTTTGTATAAGCATAATGTCAAGTGAATGTTATTGAGTTATCATATAGTACTTGGTACTAAATATACACTAAAAGACAACTGTAGGCCCCCTAATAAAGCTAAATGAACCTCTTGACTAGCAAACCGTTGGCATTTACTGCTATGATCAAATATTATCAACACCCACATACAACTCATGTTTGGGTTTTCGGCTTGCCTGAAATGTCAGACGTATTCCCGCAAATCTGTTCAGACTGAAATTTGGTCTGTTCAAGCTCCTGAGCGGTGCCTTCCGGCGACGTTTTAGCTCTTACATTAGGAAATTTGGAAAGTTTTCTGTTTTGACGAGAACGTCAAAAACGCAGCAGGTTTAGGCCGCGCCTACACGAATCCCGAAGTTTTTAAAACTGCATATTTGTTACCCAGATTCCTGTGGACGGGGCCTTAAGGCACTCAGGAGAGCTGTTACCAAAAGATGCGGTTTTGATGAGCGTATTCACTGGTTTAGTGTGGAGGGAAGGCCCATTCGCAGTTTAGTCAAAATTATCCGGATTCGTGTCAGCTTGGACTTAGATTAGGAAACAATGACTTCGCACATGCAGCACATTTTCTTGTACAATTCTTTGCCATCACTGCAAAACTACGGCGTGATTTCACGTTTTATCGCGAACGTAAACAAACGACGACAAATATCTCTTCGTCCTTATGAACTTGGAAATTTTTCTTACGAATTCACCTCCAGGAGATTGAGATAATCGCGCTTAAGTTTAAACGAACGCGAAGCCACTTTTTATGTGACGTTTTCCCCGCCGTCGCTGTTTGTTTTCTTAGGCCTGGACGACTCATATCCGGATATTTTTGAAAAAGGAGGCTTTTTCTCCGTTTTCCAAAAAAAACATATATGCGTTCACAGGTAGCGTATTCAAATCTTTTTCGCCCGTCCACACGAAAACAGTAAGACGATGGAAATACGATCTCATGCCTTCGTGCCACGAAAACTCGTGTCATTAAACCAAAGTTTTTTTTAGCCGTTGCCGGCTAATTATTTTGGAAAGAGGGATTTTCGTTTCGTCTGCCGAAACCAAATTTCCTCTTTCCACAATTCCCTGACAACAGAATACACCTGTAATCATCACCTCATTGCTAAAGTACATTTAAGTTACTGCGAACAAGTGGTAAATGAATGGCCTAAAACACTTAGTAAAGATAAAATAGTTGGACACATTTCATTGTCCCTTCAATATCTGTTTTACATGAATAATGTTTTCTCTGGCAGGCATATCCCAAGTAAGTAAAGCAACTTACGGCTTGTTCATTTGAAAAGCATTTAAAGAAACGCAGATGTCACTGTATCCAAAATCCAGAATTTTTTATTAACGTTTAATACAAACGAATCTATAGCATCATTACGCGGAAAAGGACAGATAAAATGTCACCTTTACTGTCGTTCAGTAGTAAATCATGTGTTTTAAATCAAGACTTAAAAACGAACAGTTTAGATTAATGATGGTGTCGGGGCAATGAAAACAGAATCGATATAGCATTCCACCCACGTACATCTATCACAACTGAACAAATGAAGCAACGATTGACTGGATATATAATTCAGATTAGTTTTAGAGTCCAAGAGTAACGTGTTTACTTTCAAAATAGGAAGTTTAAGCAGCGACGTTTTTGAGCGACGTACGTCAACCGAAAGTGGACTTTTTGCACTCTTGAGCCGTGATTTTGAACACATTTTTGGACAAATGGTCTCTATAACAGTTAAGAAAAATATGCAATACAAATTTGGTGGCTCGAGGCATATTAAAAGAGGAAAGGGCTCACTTCCGGTTGACGTTCGTCGCCCAAAAATGTACTTCCTTAAACCCCCTACAGACACAAATATGGCGCCATTTTACTACTACAACCAGCATCCTCAGTTTCGTTTATCTTTTCATATTTATCTCCGTTGTCCCAGCGAGGTTTAAATAACAAAGCCAAAAAATATTTACTTGAATTGTCAGTGCAATCTTCCAAAATTTCGGTTTTTCCACAAGTACTTGAATGTTTGTCTAAATTTTGGAAGCCGCCATGAATAAAGTATTGGGTTCAAGAAGGAGTTTGCGTGCGTTAAACTGGTTGAAGACCTAAAGAATATTATGAGCAATGCCAAATGAGGGTGGCACAGTTTGCACAAATATTTCAATAGCTGAACTATGAACCAGGGCATGTAGCAAATAAGAAATGCACAAATGACGATGGTGATCGCTTTAAAGACATTTCTTTCTCTTTTAAGGATCATCAGACGACTGTCTATTGAATGCCGCTGTTCTTTTTCTATTGTTTTTGAATATCTATGAAAATGGAACATGATAAC